AAGCTTTTGCATACTTATTTTTGCATAGATGGTTATGCGCGGACGCACATACGTTTTTCACACGATCAAGAATTATGCGGATGCAAAGTACAGTATATAAAATTCATCATTTAATAAAAGTATTAAAAGAATTATGTTGAGTTATGTTATGATAAAAGACTAAAATTAGAACAGTACATTTAGTATCGATATATTTTGAAAATTAATTTAAAAATTATATATAAAAAATTGAACGATATATTGAATGTATATATTTAGAGATGTATATACTCATTTTTTAATCACAAGTCAATTGCTTTAATGTTATTAGGTAAATTCGACAATAGAATGCAGATATAATCTTGAGATCTTCACGTTTTGAAATTACTTAAAGTAGTAAAAAGAACGTTCATACAAATAATGCATTGATGTAATCTCGATTGATTCCGACATCTTTATATATTAAATGCATTATTACAAATATTTATGCTTAATTATTACAAATATATGTTTACATTACGGGTACTGCGAATTACAAAAAAAAAGTTAGCGTCACTTTTTTTCTTTCTAACTATACCAATCCAAATTAATTATATGACTATGATCAAATAATAAGTAAATTATATAAAATTAATTCTTTATAGAAAGAAATGACTTTTCTATTATATAAGGCAAGATATCTGAAAGATTATCAACATTGTCATGTTGTTTCCAAAAAATATTAAAGTTTTTGTGTGATCACCCGGATACAATCCGATTAAATTATAAAGAAAAGTTCAATCGTGACTTGTTTTAAAGTGTAACACGAGAAAGGATTTATATAATTTCTTATCATAATTTAATATGTATAACTAGACTAAAAAATCAGAAATCTTAAATTTATTATAAAATTTTAGATTATTGAGATTTAGATATACTTATTTAGATATCTTGTCCTATAAAAAATCTAGAATAAATGAGTTAATTTAAAATTTTGATACTAAATGAATTTTGTTGAAAAACAATTTCGAGCATGTATTTCTTCGTCGATGAAAACCCTGTTACAAATCAATAAAGAAACTTTTTCATTTATATTGTCATTATATTTAACTCGTTTATTCCAAGATATTTTATAAATTAAAATAAGAATTTTCGCTCACTCGGTAAAAAATATGCACTATTTTAAATTTCATTAAAGACATTTGTTCAATATATAATATATATTTTATAAGTTAACTATATTCGAGTTTCTATATGCTTAAACTATCTAGAAAGAGCAATTTCTCTATTCTTAACTTATTTTTCAATCTCCATCATTCTCGTGCTTTGATGCACACATATAGAATAAAAATGATACGAGCACATACAATCTATCTAATGATGAATCAAATAATGAAGTGTAAGAGATAGAAATTAAATTTATATATTAATATTCAGTTGATTAAAAGTTAAAGGAAATATAAGAATGTGGAAGTTAATTATTTACGTATTTGTATAAATGTGTGCGCATGTGTGTATATATTGTATTAAATTAATTCTAGAAAGCAATTATATCATTGAATATAAAAAACATTTGCATAATATGCCTTACATATAACATATATTTATTTCTGACAGGCATGCATTATACTTTGAAACATACCGTTTTGCAAGCATAAAAAATAAAAGTCTTTATAAAAAAACAAATGGATTTCAATGTATATTTTGCTAATATAAAGTTTTTTTCTGATCGATAAACAAGTTCTTTGCTCATTATATGGCTTAAATTTATACAGAATTATCTATTTTTTATGTAACTATCCTATCTTGACTGTATTATTCAACAAAGAACACATACGACATTATGAATTGCCGTCTTAGGAAACAACACGTTGCAGCAAAGGCAATTTTTTTCGGTACTAATTGTCAGCAGTCGCATTCAAGTGTACAATAGCAAATTTGTACCTTGTCTTGACGGTTCAGTTTCTCAGGTTTTCAAATCTTGACAATAGTCAGTCCTAATTAATATTTCTTTTTATAATGTTTAATTATCTAAAATGTATAACTTCTACGGCATTTTAGACCGTGTATTTCAATAGCATTAGCCAAATGTTACAACGAGGTATCCGATGGTGGCGTACTTTCATGATGACTAATTTGACTTAGAGAATGTTGTAAAGCATCAGGTGTTAGCCATTCCTTTGGCAAACAACGTTGAAGAAACGGTACACATGAACTGAAATATGCCAAACGATTTACCCAACCAGGTATTTCCTGTCCACACAGAATCTGAAATATATTGCTTTTATTATTTGTTATTTACTTATCAGTATCGCGCTTAAGAAAACCAACATACCAATGTAAACTGACTGCTGAAATGATTACAATTTTTGTTCATCAAATGATAACGATCGCCTCGGAAATCTTTGCCTAACTCTGTAATAATTCTTGAAACATCTTCTTCTGTGAAATCTGTATATCCAATATGAACAGATTGCCTATAAGATAAGAGAATTATACTAATCATCTGTATAACACTTAATAGACAACATACATCTAGTATATATATATATTATACATATATATATATATATATATATATACACACACACC